GTTAGTGTCTGTGTCTGTATTTGTTTGTGTCTGTATTTGTGTCTGTGTTAGTGTCTGTGTCTGTATTTGTTTGTGTCTGTATTTGTGTCTGTTTGTGTGTGTGTCTGTATTGGTGTCTGTTTGTGTCTGTAGCTTTTCCTTTTTTGTTCTTTTTCTATTTACTACTTCTTTTTTTAAATTTCTCTCTTCCTTTATTTCTGTTTTATTTTAGTCTTCATGTCTGACTCTTGTTGACAGTCCTGATGTTACATAACATAGTTAATCACAGTTCCGTTTGACTTTTGTTAAATTAAACTTGGGGATATTTATTCATGTGCTGCACTGCATCATTTCTCTCCTCCTGAATTATGTTTTACTTTATTTTAGGTATTTTTTTCTATTTTCCTCTTTAATCACATGTACTTGTTTCCTGTTGTCTCGTGTTTCTGTCTGAATCTCTTCAATCACTTTTAGCTGTTGCTGAAAGGTGTGACAGTCGGCCTTGATCTCAGAGCTGAAGCATATTTAAAATGAAATAAATACAAATCGAAAACATCTTTTACCAACATGTGGAGAATATTTGGTGACTGATTTAATATTTGATGACTGATTTAAGTCCATCTCAGCTGTAACTGTGACAAACTGCAGCATATTAAAACTTATTTTTTCCTATAAACCCTCAATAAGAAAATGAAGTGTAAACTACACTGTATGTATATATTACCAATAATCAGCTCATTGATCAGAGTCACTGTCAGGACCAGCTCAACCAGGTCTCTGGTCTGTGTCTGTCCTCTCAGATATCTTTGGGACCAATGACGACGCCCGTCGCTACAGAGATGAGATCCTCGCCGCTCTGTCCTCTGAGGCCAGAGAGGATTATGGGGAGGCGTATGTCTCATCCCTTCCCAGCAGTCTGTCCAGGATGTCCCAGCAGTGTGCGGAGGACCTGTCCCCCGTGGTGGACGAGATGTGTCACGCTCTGCTGTCGGTCTGTCCCAGACCCCTGTACACCCCCGGACAGATGGGGTGGCTGCTGCCGTTCCTCCACCGTCACTGTCCCACCGCCGTGTTCGACCTCATCGCCATGACCTTCCTCAAACACACTGAGTGTGAACCAGCAGGACTGAGGGGGGGCGGACACAGCTGACCAGAGTCCATGTTCTGATCACCATCCAGGTGGTCTCAGATGTCTGCAGGACCAGAACCACCCCACACAGACCTGAGCCGGAGTCTGGTACAGTCAGTAGATTTTACACAGTAGAAATCCTGTGTTCAGATACAAACAGGATGTGGAACATGCATTCTATCAAAATAAAAGTAGTCATCGTGTCAGATCAGACTGAGACCGGCTGCTGCTGAACACAGATCAAACACTGACGACACACACAGAGAAAATCTGGTTTGTTGCATCAGTTTCAAAGACTTGCAGCTGGAGTTTCCTACAGGACTTGAATGCACCGGCGCTGATGATGTGACTGTTGTTCTTGTATGAAAAGTTCCATGAAGAAACATTTTCAGACCTGCTGCTGCTAAATGAGTGTGATGTGACGATACAATAATATGCTAACAGAGATGCTAAGCTAAAGATCATTGATCTGGACAAACCAACAGAAAACTCGTTCACATTAAATTGTTTTTCAAAGGAATCTTTTTTGTCTTTTCTTTTACTAAGTGAAAACGAGGACAAGGAGACGGGACGACGTGAAACATGAGACAAACATCGAGTCCTAAATCCAGACGAGACGTTAACTCTTCAGGATCTGAGTCTGTGCTGCGTTCAAGGAAACATGAGAACATGAAACATATTTAAGAGTATTCAGACTGAACACAGCTGATGTTTTGCTGCTGTTGATGGAAACACACAGAGAACGAAGCAAATTAATTAGCCTTGGGTTGGCCTTAGGTCAAGATGCCCAGCTGTGTTATTAATGCTAACATTAGCTTATGCTCGCCAGTTGTTGAACTGACATGTTATATGTCATGATGTTATTATATTTGGATTAGCTGGGAGTTAGGGGCGGAGTCAGACACGGTGCAGCAGCTCACTCTGAGCTTCAGAAACCTGTGGGTGACGTCACAGAGGCGACGTCCATCTTTATTTACCGTGCTGTAGTTTCCCTGTTGATGGTGGAGTGTTTAAATGAGCTGAAACATGACGGACACACTGTGCTGTGTGTTTAATGACAGACTGTAACACACTGTTAAACTCACAGCATCTCAGACACATCGTCTCTTTTAAAAACAGGATGTATAACATCCACTTAGACTTAAAACTGCTGCTCAGTCTCTGATCTGAACAGTCTCTGCTGCACAGATGTAAAAAAAAAAAAAATCATTCACATAAAAACACATATTTTACAAAGTCCATGAGCGTCTCAGTTCAGTCCTGAGGTTTCAGAAAAACTCTCTTTGTGTTTGTTTCTTCCACGTTCTGGTTCAGGTCTTCTTCCAGCGCCGCTCTGTCGCGCTTCTTCACAAACTTCTTCTTCATGCTTCCAACTAAACTCTCGTACCTGGGAAACATTAAAGACACAGCAAGTGAGAAATATTCCAACTAAATCCTTCGTGATCCTCAGCTGCTGACTGACGGGTTCGACTTTCCTTTTTTTAGAGAGAATTCACAGCTGCTTCAGACGATTGCACCTGTCAGGCATTATATAAAACTTATAGTCAGAGATATTCATACAGCTGCTGTAGGTTTTAGCATCAAAGCAGAAGTTAAAGTTCTCATCAGGCTGAAAATGGAGCTTTTATTATAAATCACTAACTTCCTAAAATCCTTATTTTCTTATAAGTGAAGAACAAAATGTGTCACTAAAGTAAAGATGGTTTTTAAAATCATGTTTAATAAATCTTCGTTACCGAGTGTCTCAAGGAATTATCAGAATAAAATTAACTTTAAAAATAATCAAACTAATTGATTTCCATTTAAAAACATGTTGACATTTTCTGAAAACACTGGCAGATTTAAAAATCTATAATAATCAATCACAATTAGTTTCTTCATTATATCTTCTTTTATATATCTCAAGGTATTAAATAAATGTGGAGCAGTAAAAGTATAAAAACTACACTAGTAGTTTAGTAAATGAACTTATTGTTTTTCTAACTGGATCAAAGTTCATCCTGTTATAAAATCCTTTTATAATTTAATAAATGTCCCTCATGGGGACCCGTCTGTCTCCGTCTATACCTCAGAGCCATTTCTTCATCGGTGATGTCCGTCTGCATCCTGCTCATCTCCTCCTCTTCCTCGTTCTCCTCTTCCTCTTTTGGATTCAGGAGAGCCATCAGTTTCTGAGACCGACAAAAAAAACATTTAAAATTTAATGAAATGCTGTGATTTTTATTTTCATTATTTCTACTTTGTCACTTCATCTGTAGACGAAGCTTCAATCTGTCTCAGTGGTAACACAGTCAATCCATACACAGTCCGAGGATCAATACACTGGTCCAATTATAATCCTGACGCTTTAACTGCTGCAGGTTTCCAAACAAACTGATTCAGATTCAAGAGATTCTGATTTGTCCAAATGACTTTAATGTTCCCTCCCAGTGAGGTCACATGATCCTCGGCCTCCTTCAGCTGATGACGTGAAAACACATCAGGAGGAAGAAAGAACTGGTTTCTGCTGTTATTTTTGAGACACTTCACTTTCACAGTAAAACTGAGTGAAATTAAACTTTATACAGATAAATGTTGAGTAACAGCAGCAGTGGCCTGAAGTTTCAGACAAGAAGAATCAAACTGAGACCAACCTCCACCTCTGGATTAAAACCCTTGAACGACATGCGACCGTAGTTCAGGTCTTCACAGGGAACGAAACTCCTCTCCTCTATGATCAGGTTCCTGTGGGGGGAGGGGGTTAATGGAGTTTGGCACAGACTTCTCTGTTGAGGACTGTACTGTTTACTGTATGTGTACACTCACTCTTTAGTTTTCAGTTCAGGCAGGTCCAGGTACCAGTGCTCATCACTTATTATCCTCTTCTCGTCTTCCTCCAGCTGCTTCTTGGTCTCAGCATCCAGACCTCTCTGCATGAACTGTGGGAACAGATCTTCACTTTATTTTATCATCAACTGAACCGCTGCAGCAGGTGGAAAAAACCATCCAGCGGGTCCCTGAAAGGTTCTGGACCTTACACAAAACTGTCATCATCATGTGGTGATATCTTTCCACCAGGCTTCGGCTGAGACAGTGTCAGTGACGCTGTTTGTTGACGTTCATGGTTTTCTAGCTAAAGTGTAAATGCTAATTTACAAACCGAATTAATCATTGGTTCAAACTTTACATTAAAATGTCTTAACTCGACCTCTACCAGGAGTCAGCGCCTTCATTGAGGCAGGAAATAGATTTTCGTCTGATTTCTGAATGGGATTCGGCGTGGCGTCAGCGCTAGCTAGTGCTGTAGCTAACACACGGCAGCTAACTTTTCTCATGTGTTGGCAAAGACGGCTTCACTGACCTTCATGCGCAGGAGGTTTTTGGAGAGTTTCACAGAGTCATTGGCCATTATCAACGAAAACGCGGGATAAACTTCAGCAACTTCTGGTGGTTTGCTCTGAGGCTAAATGTTAAGCTAAAGCCACGAGCAGCTGCTGTGGAAACAGGCAGGAGCAGCTGAACGTCGAGCAGCTGTTAGAAGTTAGCAGTCCGGCTAATCTACCTCTGATATCATCGATGTGCTTGCTTTGAAAACAACATGAACTTCTCAAGTCAAAAATTCTTTATGCTCTTATTATGATTACTAATCCTCCGTTTGTTCATTCGTATCTACGTAAGCGTAATGTATTCACTTGTATAGCAAGGAAAAGGGCGTCATTGTATAGTAAGGCATAAAAACGTCCAAATATAGTAAGGTATAAAAATGTCATAAAAATGTCGTAGTATACTACACTGTAAAAAAAAAAGAAAAAAAGAGAAAAGAAATCGTGAAAAAACGTTCAAATGTCTGTCAGCAGCGGCTGCCAAACAAAAACCGTAAAATTAACGTAAAATTTCCTAATTCAAATAAAGTGTAAAGACAATAAATTTACAGAAAGTTTCATTAATATTTCTACAGAGAAAAACTGTTATTTTACAGATTTCTCCTGATTTATTATGATCAAACTCCTTTAATAAAGTGACGCAACTAAAGTTTCTGCAGAGAAACTTTTTCCTAATAATAAAATTAAGTGTCAATTGATAGAATATTAACACAAGCTTCATATTGTAAAGTAAACCTTTTGTTTTGGAAGACAAAGTAAAAAATACTGTGTAAAACAGATTAAAATCATCTCAAACTTCAACTTGCAGTATTTGTGTCAACATTGAATCTTTAAGTGTAAAGTAATGTTAAAACCTGTAGAAGCTCAATCTAAATACAATATTTACTGATTCAGATTCAGATCAATTTTCTTACATTTCTCATAAAATATAATAAACTGAAGAAATGCAAATTAAACTGTTAAGTCTCTGTATGTAGTCTTTCAACTAAAGTACAACATGATGTTCATTTTTCAAATTATGATCCTATTTAAAAGATAGTGACGTTAAAGCAGAGTGGCTTTAGGGCGTGGCTACCACGTCATTGACACACAGAGGGACCTGCCTGTTGATCCGGATATGACGTCAGAGCGATGTCTCGGACATTTGACTTGTCATTGTTTTTTCAGTTCATCAAAGTTAGCTCCAACATGTTGTTTACCGGTAAATGTCTTGTTCTGTGTTCAGTTGTTCTCACAGACACTCAGAGGAGTCGGCGGTTCAATTTTTTCCAGTAAGTGCATTTTGTTTTAAGCCTGTTTCTTTGCTAGCCAAGATTAGCATCCCTGTTAATATCACAGTTCAGGTGAAGATGCACCTTGCTAACCAAGCTAGCCAGCTAGTGCTAGCGTTAGCTGATAACCTGTGTCAACCCGGGTTAGCCCGTGGAGGTGTTCAGTCAAAGCCCAATAAAAAGGTGAATTTAATGGACGTTAATCTAACGACGTTTGGTTTGTGTTTCTCCACATGTGACCCAGTTTAAGTGATCTGCGTTAGTGTAATGCGCAGCGTTAATGTTGGTTAATACATTGTCCATCAAGACGTCGTGATAGTTCAAGTTAAGATAACGTGACGTTTACAAAATGTGTAGACAAATATTTGTCATATAGAAGATTGTTCATTTAATACTCAAACCAGTCCTCAACTGAAGCAGACATTCATGCACCTATCCTGACAGCTGATCGATATTTGTGATTAACTGTGATCCACCGCATCTTAACTCAAGTGTTTGTGTTTTATTGTCATTTGAAAGGTTTCCACACTGTGAAAACTGAGTGATCTGTGCCAACAGAAGGAGGACCTCATGTACAGAGCAGCCCATTTGTTTCCATTCATCTGGTTGTGGAGAAGGGAGACTGCATGGACATCCTTAGTTCTCTAATGTGCTGTGATGATGATGATGGTAGAAAACCTCTCCCAGTTCATCTTCCTCTGATGAAATGACAGACTAACTGCTGATGAGTTAGTTTATTATTCTCTGTCTTCAGTATTCACAGGTTCAGTTTCTTACCTGCAACTTCATTTCTGCTGTTGTTGACAGGTGATGGTAGCAACACTTTTAAGATCAGAATTTATAAATATTAAACTGTGATTAAGTGATGGATCATCTCTAGCACTGTCACCACCTCCACAGGTGAAAGTATTTACCAATTAA